TGTTGATAAGCAGGCAAGAGGACGTAGACTGTCTCACTGGGCCTTGTTTGAGCATATATGAGACCTCAAAGCCCACCGCAACAGTGACACACTTTCTCCAACAAGATCACAGGTAACTCCAACAAAGCTACATGGTCCCAATAGTGCAACTGCCTTTGGGGGTCATTTTCTTTCAAACCACCACACCTCCTGAGCACACAGATCAATGATTAACTTCCAGTGGGAAAACTGTCCTTGAACACTTTTGCTCTTGACAGACAAGAGCAGGGGGAATTTGGATAGGTGGACATTTATGGAGCCATATAAAATTCCACCCTAAATTATTTTTTTCAGAAAATGAAGTCTTAGTTTTAGAAATACTTGGGTTGCTCATTTCATCCATTTCCAACACATGTTTTTCTCCATTCTCTTCCATATAATTGCTGGTTAAAAGTAGCTGCCTCAGGGGAGATGAACCCTGGGATGGAATGGCAAGTGTAGTGTCTGTTCTATGTAAAAAGTAAAGAGACTGAATGTGATTGGAGAGAGTGAGACCCAAAGGTGAATTTCAAGGACAGCCATCAGAAAGACCAAGACAGGTGGTATAAAAAACAGGAACAAAGGTCTAGGGAGAAGTAGAGCCAGGCCAACTCCAGGTCTGGGATGAATAGGCTGACTTATAGCATCCCTACCTCTCCCTAAAACATAACATTTTATTTTTGTTCATACAGTAAGCAGCTATCATATGTCAACAGGAATCCTTGCTTTGTGAGGTACATCACATGACAGTGCTCTGGAACACATAAACTAAGGGCAGATAAATGCTATGACACAGAAATGACAAATTTTGCACTGTTTATGTTGCAGCAGTAGTATGCACTAAACTATCAAATACAGTCTAGTCACACTGGGAAAGTCAGTTCCAAATGCACAGGAAACAGTGGAAGGAACATTTCACTACCCACCAATGTGTTATACAAGGAATTGCAAGGAATTGCACAATGGAGAAGCAGATTTCACTTCTATGAAATAGACATAGAAAAGGCGATGGACATGAAAGTGAGGCTACACTTTGATTTCTCTATAATGGCAAAACTCCAAATCTCTATTGATCACCTCCTCTGTGTCAGGTTCAATTTAATGCAGTGAGGGTAGATGGGGTCAATGGATGAAGGCCCCTGTTTTTGTGGGAGTACATTTTAGGAGAACCTCCAGACAATGGACACAGTGATGAAGTTAAGCAGAATGTCACAAGGTACCATGTGGAAAATTAAAAACACAGAGTGAGGGGGTGAGAGAGTTTCTATCTGAAGGGTGTGAGGTCATTACTAGTAGAAGTATGAAATAGAAAAGTCCTAGTAGTCATTTCTGGGGTGACAACATTTGAAAGCACCTCAAAGGAGTAAGTGGAAAACTCCAGAACAACCTTTACAGAGATACAGCCTGCCTGCTACAGTCAGGGAACAGCAAGGAGGCTCATACAGTCCTTGCCGTAAAGTGAGTGAAGTCAGTGACAAGGATCAATTTGGAAATGAGACAATGGTGAGCAGAAGGTCCCATCTCTGGTTCCTAATCTCACCATTACAAAGTTGTCTTACACATGGGCTCTGGGGAAAGCAGGATGCTATTGCCCAGAGGAGGGACTGGACTTGTGTGAGGGAAGAGGAGTCTCTAAGTGCCAGGCTTAGGAGTCGTTCACATGGGCCCTGCATTGCACTTAGAGGACTCTGAGTGAAGTGCCTGAATCTGGCATTGCCAGTTCCTTCCTCACCTGGTTCCTGGAGAAAGAAAACCTGCTGCTGAATTTTTCCACAGCTCAGGCTAGCATTTCCGCTACCTGACCCATCCCCACTGCCATGTCTTTCCAAATCACATGAGCAAGAGCATGGAGTAGGGTCTGGAGGGTATGACTGGGCCCTCTCTGGCCATCCTGGCTACCAATAGGCAGAGGGATGCAACCCTGTGGGCTGGCTGATATACCCTTAAAGGCACTAAAGCTGCCACTATTTGGACACGGTAGAGAAGCTGCTGCAGGAGTTCAGTCAGGGAGGGACATTCAGCGAGCAGAGACCAGGAGTGACTGAAGAACCACTCGTAGGTGAAGTGCACAGGAAGAGTCACTCAAGTGAACCCAGGGGCGAAGGCTGGGGAGCCGGTGCTCTGCTCAAAAGAAATAAGCCACAGAATGTGCTGTGTGCTAGATGTTTATTCTGTTCCCAGGATCTCCAAACTCACAGGGATTCTAAGGGGTAGAAGTGGGCCAGAGGCAAGGTGGTTGGTGAGTCTGCCAGCAGCTCAAGTGCCAGGCCATCCCCACTCCTCCAAAGGCCAGGACCCTCTCTGCCATTGCCAATTGGAGGAACCCCAGACACATGGGCTATTCCCAGCCTCTTGTCTCTGGCTCCAGGTCCTGCTTTATCTTACAGAGCCCAAATAAGTGAGACTAGGAACCAAACAGAGGCTAAAAGGAAGAAAGGAAGTGGTGGTATGGAAATAAAACCACAAAAAAAAAACCCAACATCTTTTTTCCCTCATTTAAGAATATTCAATTTTTTCAGAGTGGTTCCTTTCAGAAGCCAATACAACTTTTAAAAATTTTGGTTAGGATTTGAGGCGATACTATATTAAATGTGTTGTGAAAGTAAGGGAAGATTGTTACTTTCTTCTATTTCTGGCATTGTAACCTAAATCTTGAAAAACCAAATTACTGGGCAAGGAGGTACGTGTCTAGAATGCTACATTCTAGAGGCACAACAGAGGCAGGAGCTGGGGTTCAGGATCAGCTACAGCCACAAGGATCCTGTCTTTTATACAACAACAACATATTCCAGAGAGAAAGCATCCCACATGCATTGGTAATGACATTACTAGCACAGGAGGCATTGGTGCCCTGCACAGCAGCTTACACCAGAAAAATCCATTTCTCTCAGTAGAATTTGGCCTAGCCTGAAAACGTGGTCTCTTGCTTGCTATTCCATGTTTTATTTGGTTACATCCCAAGTACCCCAGGAACAATTAATTTCCCTAAATTTTAATCTTCTTTTTTTAAAAAAAATCCCACTTTTCCCAAGGTACCTGAACCCCTTTCCATCTTTCCTCGGGCCTTCCATGGCCAAAGAAAGACTAAGCAAGAACATTTGGCTCTCTTTTTGATTCAAGGCTTTGCCACCAATTCTGGTGATATTAACGTCTCACTATTCCACACATAATTCTTAACCTCTCATTTTCAGTGACCTTGTCCCCATCACCTCAGTGACCCACACACTGGTGCTGCATAACTTTTGTTAATTAGCGTAAGAGTTTATGATCTTGAGCTATTTCTGACCAAAGATGCAGGTACCCCTGGTCACATGGCCATGCCTAGAGACACAGGTAAGCCAGGTCACAGGGCCATGAGAAGAGACACAGGTATTGCTTTCCAGCTCCTCTCTCCTGAGCCAGGTCACAGGGCCATGAGAAGAGACACAGGTAAGCCAGGTCACAGGGCCATGACTAGAGACACAGCTCTTGCTTTCCAGCTCCTCTCTCCTGATTTCCCTCCAAAGTGGAAAAACCCAAGTCAGCACAGACAACATGACTTATAAAGACACAATCATAAGATTATTTCTGCTTCCTACTGCATCCAATCTACCACAGGGCAACCCAGTTTCCTTCAAACCTTCTTCCAAATCAAACAATCAAAACCAGTCCTGTCAGCTTGCCATAGCAAACATTCACTGAGACACTACAGTTTCCTGTAATGAATGATTTATAATAGAGTCTATGAGAGCCTGGAATAAAGGAAAGTCAGGTATTTATTGATTGGACTCACTCACAAGTAGCAAGGTAGAGAACTAACTGTGGTCTTGTGCCCAGAGGTGCTGGTAGCTGAGATATGATCTGTGACCACCACCAAAGAAAGTGAGAACATGCTTCTGCTCCCCCTTATCAGTTCTCCTATAGCACCTGAGACCAAGCCTTAATGGGTTGGTGCCCCTAAGTCTACTGGCTGAATGAGTTCCCACAACAGTTCCCCATGACATAAGCCTGGCCCATTTATGAGCAAAATAAATACACTTATTACTAGCCCCACACCATCAGAATTCTCTGACTGATAGACATCCACTTTTCATCCGAGCATCATATTTACATGCTGCTCATTTTGCCTCTAAAACCCTGAAATCCTAAATGCTTTGAAACTTGAGGTTTTTATTACAAACACTGTGTGCAAAAACTTTTGGAGTTTGGGATGTTTTGGATTTTTAGATTTTTGGGTTATGGGTGTCCAATCAGTAAAGTCTAAGAAAATCTCTTCCACAAACAAACAAACAAACAAAAACCAAAACAAAATCTGCAATCTGAAAGCCTTCTGTGGTAAGTATTTCAGAAGAGACTCAAATGATGCAATTTAATGGTAGCAATTAATACCATCTTCAAGATGAATAAAGCAAACAAGCTAGAAATATGTGAAATGAAATTCACAAATCTTCCAATGTGGAGTGAAAAATGCAAGACAGAAAATAATACAGACTAGAATATTTAGCAATAGAAACCAAACTGTGTAACTGGTGGGCTCACACCGTTGAGGGATATACTCAAATGTGTACAGGTCTAAAATGTACAAGTGTTCATTGTGCTAGTCAAAAGAGCCATCCTCTTGGGACAGTGAGGGAACCCTCATGGGAATGGCTACAGGGGGTTTGTTTCTGGGATTCTGTTTCTTGACTTAGATAGTGAATGCATGAGAACACACATTGATGGTAAGACATATCAGTGTTACACACAGTCTTTGAAGTATGTTTGAAAATAGTAAAACACAAGAAAATAAAGACTGGACAAAAAACTTTGATATTTCCTTTCCTAAGTCACTAACTAGAATTTTGTCAGTAGAACAAACTGTTGCCATTTAGCTTCTGAATTCAAACATGGAGATGCTTCTCAGCCTGTGAACTTCATTATACCACCCAGACAGTATTTGAGAAAGCTTTACCCCCACAGGGCCAGGTCTCCCAGCTGCCTTTTAGCAACTTTGTTCATTCTACCTTGAAGGATATTTCTGTTGTCATGGTGAATCCATGGGTGATGACAGGCTCTTCCTCTGCAGTCCTTCCCTTCCAGCAGTCCAGCTCCACACAGCGACATCCAGACAGAAGCACCTGGCGATACATCTCTACAGAGGAGTTCCCAGCCAACTGGCCAGCTGCAAAACAAACCCCAGAACCCCTTGAGTCAAGGAAAGGAAGGAAGGAATGATGCTTCATCAAAAGCTCTTTTAGCAAACAAAGCACTGGAGTAGGCCAGGTGTCACCAGGGCTCCCTAGTGGTGGGTTGGGAGGAGAAGAGATGATAGGATAAGGGAGGACAAGAGAGAGGAGGGATGAGGGAGAGAGGGGAGGGGAAGGGAGGGGAAGAGAGGGAAGGGAAGAGATGAAAGGTATTGTAGTAGGAACAGTGACACATACTGATTATCTGTTTACTGGGAGTCAACTATGGAAATTTGCAGTCAATAGTTAATCTTGAAAAATAAACTGTCTGGTATTACTATTTTATATGAAACAGAATCCCATTCAGACAATGAAAAGGGCACAGAGCAACTGAGTCACCCAAGTTTTCCTGGGGAATACCTAGAAAAACACAGTTCTCATCATGGAAGATAAGTAGTAAGTGAAGATGGCAGTACTCCTCAAACTGGTGTACAGTTTTAATTCATAGTAAATCCAACAGAAATTTGGCTGCAGAAATTGACATTCTGACCCAGTTTCTGGCAATATGGGGAGGGTGCTTAATTAGCCAAAGTAATCCTGAAAAATATTTTTAAAAAAGTTGGGAAAAAAAACCCCACACTTTCCAATTTTAGAATTTACTACCAAGTTATAGTAATCAAGACAGTATGATACCATTATAGGAAGAATAATCAGGTAAATGCAATAGAAATGAAGGTTGAGAAATAAACCTTCAGTTTATTGTCAACTGTCTTCCAACAATAAAGCCAATACAACTCAGTACAGAAAAATTAGTATGTTCAATGAATTGACCTGAGGCAATAGGACAGCCACTCCCCAGCCCTCCAGGAAGCTGGATCCCTATTTCACACCACACAGAATAAATTAATGCAAAATTGATCAAGTTCTAAATATGAGAGCTAAAAATAAGAAGGTCTTAGAAGAAATACAGGGAGCACCAATGGTTATGTGTAGGCAACATCAACAGCACAAAAAGAATAATAGGAAAACTTTTTAAAATTGATATTTGTGCGCAGAGCTGAAATAATCTAGCCGAGCCATTGTGTAGTTAAGTTAGGAGTGAGCAGGCTCCACCAATGCCCTCATAATTTGTTTTGGGCTTGACCTCCTATGTCCTTGTTAAATACAATGATTCTGAGGAAGGGGGAAGTATGACAATTGCCCTTCAGAATTTGAAATACCATGTGAAAGAAGGAGAAAGTGTCACAATTGCAAATACCACATTAAAATTGTAAGGATAGGTCAGACAAAAGGAGGAAGGAGGGGCTGGCAGGCTTTGTGAGGGCTGTTTAAGGGAGGGCTATTTCCTTCTGTAAAATATGGCTATTTGTATAGGTTTACTTTTTGGTTTTTCTTTCTTTAGCTCTTTTAAATCTACTATGTGATATTTTTTCTTCTTGTTTTAGTCAAAAGAATGAACGCTGAGTTATATCTCTGACCCTGGGTGCAGATTAAACTTTCTGAACTGCCCAAAATATCATAAGATTATTATGTGGCCAGAGGCTTTCCAGTAAAGAAGAAGGACATACCTAGTCCCTCCCTTCAGAATGAACACAGTGACCATGTCGATCAACTGAACAGAAAACACCCCAAGGAAAGATGCTTCTTCCAGAGATTTTAGAAAGCAATACAAAGTACACCCAAAAAGTGGAGATTGAAACCTGGGGCGCTCTGACTACTGATCTCCCAGCTGGGGAGTGCTCCCCTACCGTGTAATAAGCTCCACCCATCTTCTATATTATTATCTGAGTATCTTATCATCTGGATTGGGGACCTGAGGGGAATTGGAGAGATTAGACTGTGCTCCATTCTATGTTAACTTCGTACTATATAAAACATTGATTTCAGGTTGTGTCTCAACTTGAGAGACTCCATTTTACAAACAGCCTCTGACTCCAGTTTGACTACAGATGCAGAATCAAAATGCCTCTGTATCTTGATCGGCACGTGAATACCACAATATGCCCAACACCACCCACGAAGCAGACCATGATATATAGCCTATTCTTAACTGTGAAAAGGGTGTTACCCCATTAATTTATTACCATGAATTGGTACCCATTAGCAGATGTATGTATTAAAATAACTGTATCAGTAAAACCAGATACCAGAATCTACTGAACATACTAGACTGAGAAAAGACTACAAGGCTTGGACATCAGAAAAGAAGGGCATTTAACATCATGATGACATTGACCCCTGTTGTGGAACAATCTTTTTGTACACTGTGAAGATGTGTTGCTCTTATTGGTTTAATAAAAAGCTAAATGGCCAATAGCTAAGCAGGTAGAGGCTAGGCAGGACTTGTAGATAGGGAGAGAGCTCTCTGGGATGAAGAAGGGAGGAGTCACCAGCCAAATGCAGAAGAAGCAGGACATGTACAAGATGAGGTAACAAGCCATAAGCCATGTGGCAGCAAGAAATTAATAAGAAATGGGTTAACTTAGGCTATAAGAGATAGTTAGAAACAAGCCTAAGCTATCTGCCTAGCATTTATAATTAATAATAAGTTTCTGTGTGGTTATTTGGGAGCTGACTGGCAGGACAGAATATTTTGCTTACAGACCCTGCTGACCTGACTTGGTGTCTGCTCCAGTGCGGCGTCCACCCTTGACCAGCAAGAAAGACGCCACACCGAGGAATCTTCTTCAACACAGTTTAATCGGGAACCTCTTTGCTTTGTACAGTGTATAATGGCGGCGGCGGCGGCCCCGGGCCGAGGGAGACGGGGCCTGATATAGTCTACATCTACCAATCACCTAACCCTACGTGGCGCGCCAGGATAGGTTGTCTCCAATCAGAATTAAGAGGATACATGACCTTTACCATATTGTTTACCACGGAGAGCGCTCGCCGTCGGGCTGGCGGAGGGCAGAAACCGGCGCCATCTTTTGGGTGCGGTATTCTGCAGCTCCCTACACTCCAGAAATAAACTGACAGAGAACAACACTCAACTATCACAGGGGCTTCAGCTAGGATCAGTCTCCATGGTTGAGGCAACCTATCTGACATGCCACCTGCCCATTGGGCCATAAGAATGGGGCCCTGTGCTCTATCACTATGGCCTCCATGATCCTGCATTTCACCTGGGCAGCTTGACTAACCTAGGTTCCCTCTGACTCTATGCTTGACTCTACATCAGCACCTATGGCATACCACCAACAGGGTTTGCTACCTAACTCCTACATAAAATCTCTTTGCATTTGTATCAGCCTCCTGCTTCTGCTTCTTCGTAAGATCCTCTGGACTCACTGGACTCTACTGAGGCCTCTTTACCCTCTTGTGTCTATTCTGTAATCTTCATATAGACACGTACACAGATAGATTTCCTGTGTGATGGGTAGCATGTGACCTGAGAGTTAAAATCATTAGTCAAAATTGGAGTAAAAGGAGTGCTGGTAGCCAACGCCCAGCCATCACAGGAAATTAAGACTATTTGGCAAATGATAGCCAATAAAACTGATGTAGCTTGTGAGCTGAATAGGATTTTGGACACTGTGGGAATAAATTTTGGTTTGGTTATATGGACACTGTCAATAAATTTTGGACACTGTGGGAAACACAAACATGTCTGTGGATGTTTCCGAGGAAGGGAGACTCATGACAGTAATGACAGATCTCTGTCACAAAGTTATGAAATTGTGATAATGAAGACACATGAGAGGTCTGAGGGCAGAAGCCATGGTACTAAGGGACAGAACATCCTCTTTTCCCCTTAAGAAGTTAAGGAAAATCATTGACTTAAAAATATTTATTTATTTAATGTGGATGTGTATTTATTGCACCACAGGTGGGGAACCTGTAAAGGGTAGAAGATGGTATCAAATCCCCTGGAATGAGAGTCCAGGTGGAGGATTATGTGTTTTCTGGGACCTGAACCTGAATTTTTTTATAGATTTATTTATTTCTTATGTATACAGTGTTCTGCCTGCAGAAGAGGGCACCATATCTCATTACAGATGGTTGTGAGCCACCATTTGGTTGCTGGGAATTGAACTCAGGACCTCTGGAAGAGCAGTCAGTGCTCTTAACCTCAGAGCTATCTCTCCAGCCCCTGAACCTGAATTCTATATAAGACAATAAGTGCTCTTAACCATCAAACCATCTCTGTAGTCCTGGTAGTCAGTAACTTCTTGATAGATTGTTTTTAAAAGATTAATAATAAATACATTTTGAAACAAATATTTTATCAAACCTAAAAATTGAAGTCTGATTTCCATGTCAAAAGTTGCTTTGATCAATATATCACAAACCTGTATGTCTTGATTTATTTATCTGTTTGTTTAGTTACTTTGAATCATGGTCTCACCCTGTAGACTAGGCTATCCCTCCTTCCTCACCCTCCTCAGTGTTGGGAGTACTGGCATGTTTTCTCCCCTTTGCTCTTTTGAATCTTCCTTTATAGCCAATGAAAGATGGCTTGTTGATAAAAAAACTGTCAAAATGACTTTGAAATGGACAACATCTGTCCTGTGGAGACACACAGGGGAAAGGAAATGGGATTAGGCCAACTGGCTTAATTTTATTTTATATGCATGGCACAGCACCCAACCATCAGCATAACAAAGGACGATACTCTTCAGTGCTATACAGCTCTAGCAAAGGCACCAAAAGGCTGATTAAGGACATTTGCATAATCACTTTTCTTTACTAGAAAAATTAAGGCATTTAAAAACACAAATGTATTTGCAAAGACAAAAAAAAACCGCTGACAGAACAACCTGAAAAACTCCTGATGCAGGATAATCAATTTGCCATTTATTATTGTCTCAAAGTTTATTGTCACTGCAAAACCGTCCCCATCTCTGCTGCATAAAGGACAAGGGAGAGAGTGGGAGTGAAAAATTAACACTGTTGTTATTCCTAAACTTCTGAACTACAGGATTGAAGAATTGAAATAATCATGAGATTAATTCATCAAAAGGTTTGTTCCTGCATAAAACAACATAGGCATGAA